AATCAAAAAGTTAGAACATAGGAAATTTCAGTATTTCTTTTAAATAAAAAAAAGTAGTTATATTTTTCTAAGGCGAAGTGAAATTAAAATTAGAAATGAGCTTGAGCTTGAGTGGTTAGCATTTTGTAAGAAAATAATGTGGGTGAAATGGGGCCGGGAGTATGTAGTGAGAAAAAAAGGAAAGAAACACTTAAATATTGTGAACTTTCGTATATACAACCACACTAGATGCGCTCTCTCAAATTGTAAATTCCCCCTTACTGTAAAATAACAGTGTGCCAAAGGTAACCTGGAAAAATTAGTCTTCAGGATATTTGGAAATAGAAAGTCATGGTAAATACTCGTTTAATTTTGTATGTTATAGGCGAGTCTTCTAAGCACTGGAGTTGCCTGAAAGTAGAGAAAGAAAGTGGCACATTTTTGTATTTTTAGAGAGAGAAAGTCAGTAAGAAAATGTTGATAGAATAAAATGAATTAGGAAAAAGGTGATTCAAAATAGAGCAAAACGTCTCTTTTAAAAAGTGAAAATTGGTTTAATGTTCACATGAACAGGTGACTGTTGGGTTTCCAATAGCCATCATCCAACGGTTATCAACCGTTGGATATGCAAACAGGCCCTTGGGCTAGGGGTGCCTCATGTGTTGATACGAACGTGCGAAGTGTAAAATGTGTCATCAAGCGCCTTGAGCCCTTACCCTCGCCCTATACAAACACGTGCGTGTATGCACTTGTGCAAGTGATCATTACATGCTTCGAATGCTCCGCACAAGTGCTTACACTTTCTCTTTTGTTCCAAGAACATAAGGCATGAGCACAACTTCACTCTTCAATGTGGGACTAAACCCCACCACTTTCTGTCTTTCTCTAACTATTTCAAACTTAGGAAAAACAATTCTTATAGATTATTATTTTAAAATATCTTATTGTATTTTACTATACTAAAATATTAACATATTTGATGTTCGCAAGGTCCTTTTCAAGTTTGTTTCCCAATGTTGAATTACTTAGAAGGAAGAAAGGACTAGTATGATAATTGATAAGAGGTGATTTTCGAATGTATTTTACTGTGTATCAATAGAAGGAAAAATACATAAATATATACATAGAAGTTAGATTTTCTCCATGAATTTGGGAGCTAAATATGGAGAGATAAAATTCCCAGCAATAAACCCGGCTAGACTTTTGAATAAGTCTAATACTCCCCCTCAAGTTGGAGCGTGGAGGTTCTTAACGCCCAACTTGGCAAGTAAGAATCTGAAATTCTCTCGACTCAACGCCTTGGTAAAGATATCAGCCACTTGGTGTGAAAAACCAATAAAACACGGTTGAATAAGTCCTTGTTGAAGCTTTTCTCGTATAAGATGGCAATCCAGTTCTATGTGCTTTGTGCATTGATGATAGACTAAATTAGCCACAATATGAAGGGCCATTTGGTTGTTGCAATAAAGAGTCATAGGATCATTATGAGAAATGCCAAAGACTTGAAGTAAAAATTTGAGCCATTGAAGCTCACAAGAAACTAATGCCATGGACCTATACTCGGCCTCCGTAGATGATTGTGAAACTGTACTTTGTTTCTTGGTTTGCCAAGAAATTGGAGAGGTATCTAGGAAAGTACAGTATCCCGTAGTAGACTTACGAGTCATTGGACAACTGGCCCAATCAAAATCACAATAGGCTGTGACATAAAGTGAGTAGGAAGTAGATAATAGAATATCTTGACCAGGACTGCCTTTGAGATATCTAAGTAATTTGAGGGCAGCATCCATGTGAGGTTTGCGAGGGTGTTGCTTGAATTGATTGAAAATGTGAACTGAATACACAATATCTGATCTTGTTAGCAGCAAATAAATGAGTTTGCCCACAAACCGACGATGTGGAGAAGGATCATCAAGCAAATCACCATTTGAATTATTAAGTTTTAAATGTTGTTCTATAGAACAAGCAAGCAATGGACCGTGCCCAATTGTGCCACCGAAGCAAATGTCTCGTGATAGTCGAGGCCCTCCATATGAGTATAGCCCTTAACAACTAGACAAGCTTTATATCGTTCAACACTTCCATCAACATGGTATTTAACCTTGTAGATCCACTTACAGCCAGTGGCTTGTTTGCCAAGTGGGAGATAGGTAAGAGTCCAAGTATTATTATCGTCAAGAACTTTAATCTCCTTGGTCATTAATAATGTCCTTTATAAAAAGGAGCTGTCTCACAAGAATGGCTGAATAAACTCATTTATTGTGTTTATATAAGCCATATTCTTTAGGATTATCATTCCACAGTGATGAAAAATCTGTTGGACACTGGCGCAGATTCACTCTGAACCAAACCCTAGCCAGTTCCAAATGAATTTTTATTTTCTTTTTTTGATGATCTTCATCAAGGGCAGGTCCTCCTTTGTTGTTTAGCTAGAGGTTTGACCGAGTTGGACCTCTGACTCAAACGATTCTATGGCTGACTAGGGTTCAGGATCCTAGCCATTCTAAGCTCGAGTCCTTGTTCTCAAACACAGTGACTTTGAAAGCAAGAATGATCTTGAGTGGTCAAGTATGTGGAACCTATGATTTGCCATTGATCATAAACCAAAAAAAAGTCGATTAAAATGAACCAAATATATCTAAACCCCTAATGAAGGAATTGGGCTTGGGCTTGAGTGGTTGGCAGTTAACATCCAGCAATGCTACATCTCAAGTTTGATTTTTACCACTAAACCACTAAAAAAAAAAAATCAGGGGTTGCGACCTCCATACTATGGCTTTAGAAAGTTCGATTCTTACCACTGAACTACTAAAAACAAAAATCCAGTGGTTGTGACCTCCACACTGTGGCTTTAGAACTGAGCTACTACAAAAAAAAAAAAATTCCAGTGGTTACTACCGCCACACTGTGGCTTGAGAAAGTCTAATCTAACCCACCCACGACACCAAAATTGTCAAAACCTAGCCTTAAACAGATCACTATAATGACCAAATTCAATCTTTTTTATAAAAATAAGAGAAGAAAAACCTAACACTAACGTCTATATAAGCCCAAATCCCAAACCAAGTTAAAAATAATGAAAATAAAAATTTTTAACTACGGTAACAAGATACATTAATTCCAAAAAATAGTCTAGAAAACCTAGTGTGAATGGGACAATGAATAAAGCTAATGTGTTCCCCTATTCTCCATGAATAGCATCTTCCAACTTGTTAAATTTCCCCTTTAAGTTGTTATTTATATTCTATTGGGAAACATGGGCCGTTAGATTCCACCCTTTTTGAGATAATTCTAAATATATCTAGTGTGATATATGGAATATATAACAAAGATGGAGTTTTGGGGTATTTCCATCTGTCGGTCATGTCATATAGGCCCGAGTAGGACATCAAGTTGTTTGGATTTGAATTATCCGAATGATGCCTTATAAAAGATGTACAATCAAACATTTTTCTAAAGAAGCCCAAATGAAGTGAATATGGTACCCAAAATGATAAATAAGTAAAAAGCAAGTTCGATTCCGCCTATTTCTAACCTAAATGGAATTTGACCACGTATGGATCCATAGTATCTATTTACCTATGCTTGACCTATATTCTATTGGGAAACATGGGCCACTAGATTCCACTTCTTATTCCATTTTTGGGTAATTCAATGGGGATATATTTGAAAAAATGGATAGGGGTCTATCTTCCCATGAAATTACCAAAAAAAAAAAGGTAAGGAGTGGAATCTAATGGCCCATCTTTCCCAATAGAATATGAGTATCAACTTAAATGGATATTTAACAAGTTGAAACATGCGATTCATCGCGAATAGGGAAAAATGCCATGTAGATACTGATCCTTGAATAAAAGAAGACATGGAGAATATGATGCGAATTCTAGACAAATGGATTCCAAGTTAAAGTAGTAGGAGATATTCATGTTTTGAATTGATCACATAATTCTAGACCGAACGTCCTTGGATAAGGTTTGAAATATGTGAATAGATATTGTCTATTTTCTCTGTAAAACTCAAGTTAAGAATATTCTTAGGATACTTATTTTGGGATATAACCTCTTGAATCCAACAACTGACCTCAAAAAAAAAAAAAAAATCAAATCGCATACTCAATGTGCTTGGAATTAATAATATCCCAAAATTGAATAAGGACCATTCAATTTTTGGAGGGTAAGATCTACGTGTTGAAAATCTTAAATTTTATTTCATATTTTTTAAAATAATTATATAGTGATTCTTAAGTGGATACCATTAAGTTGAAAAACCCTCTCACATAGCTCTTATACTTTGTGGAAGTTGATGAATATATGCTTCCATGGGTGCACCACGTACTATATTGAAAATTCCATTTTCCTCTTTACTTTTCGGGAAGCATCTTTGCTTCTTATCTTATGCCTATTAAATAAAGAAAAAGCAACCATGAATAGGCACATGTGACACACGTTTCCTTTGGTCCTAATTTATTCAATATATGCTCGGTCAAGGTTTAAAAATCAACGAATCGTATCGGAACCAATTAGTTCGGATCAGGAATCGTAGAGCTGTTCATGTTCTGCTTTAATATTGGAAACCGGCCGTTTCTGGTTTGTTTTTTAATAGAATCGGCCGTTTCTTTTACATAACCGTCCTGTTTTATTTTTAATATTTTTTCAAATTTTTTTGGTTCTTAATTTTTTAAAAAAATTTTATTCGATGGTTCATTAGGCCGGATTATCTATCCAGCTTGTCGATCCACCGATTTAAATCAATTTTCTGGAGATGCAATGTGAGTCACTGATTTTTAAAACAAATAAACATATTTGAATACAAAGAAACATATTTGAATAGGTGAGTTGTATTTCTATGCCAAATTCACATCCAAGATCAATGAAGCCTCGTAACAAGAAGTGGATAACAACTTAAATTTTGATAAAGATAATGAACAGAAAATCAACAAAAAAGACATCCTCTTCTGAAATAGCCTTATATTCTTTAAATTGTTCACCAGAATCTCCTTTTTTGTCTTCTTTTTTTTTCTTTTTCTTTCTTTTTTTTTTTCTTTTTTTTCTTTTTTTTTTCTTCTTTCTTTTTTTTTTGCAAAACACCCCCCGCCCCGGCCCCTTTTTTTTTATGCAAAACTCCCCCGCCCCCAGCCCTGTATTCAGCACTTGAAGTACCAAATCTTTTCTTCCTTTTTTTACTTTTATTTCAAGAAAGGGTTTGGCACGGATCAATCTTTTACATAAAATTTCAATGTTATACCTAATATTTGTTTAATGTATAAGGAAAAAAGAGGAAAATGAGGATCATTTATTCTTCATTGTTCATTTCTTCTAAAAATTGGAATTGGAGTTTCACAAAAATGGATGTCATAAGAACATTTTGTTACAGTTGAATTATGTTGGGTTTGCCTAAAGTTGGGCAGGTAATTTGAAAGATTTTTAGAGGGTTTGTTTTATGGAAAATTTTGAAGTAGTAAAGTGGAAGGACTTTTGAAGGTAATGTTTTGCCGAAGGAAAGGATTTTGAATGTAATCCAACACACTCTCTGGTATTGATTGTCCGTTATTAAGGAAGACTAGCGTCTTTCTGAAATTGATGTATGGTTGAATCTGGACATTTGGTAAATCAGGACCAATAAAATGTAGATTGAAATTGATGTATGGT